ACCCCGCAAACCTGCGAACGCCCACGCGTCGAGACACGTCGCGCCCCGGCGCGCCCCAGGAAGCCTCTCGCGAGGCAAAAAAAATATGTGTAAATATTTATCCCCGAACTCGTCCCGCGTCGCCCGCCGCGCCAGCAATCGACCGTTCCTGCCCCGCGCCCCCCAGCAGAATGATGAGCCCTAGTCCCAAGCAGATACACAATCACTTCGGCGAGTTGCATCCTGCCCGAATGAGGCGCGCCAGCGTTTGAGCCAAGGGCGCACGCACGCCTCCAACCAGGAGATGCGCAACCTGCGAGATTCTTCCCCCGGACAGGGGTCGGGGCAAGTATTTCGCCGCGGAAATCGACGATCGCGCTGCCGCAAATCACGCAGAACGCGATCACGGAGGGGCGATTGTCAAGCCGGGCGCAAGGAACAGGACCCCAATGGGCAGCAATCTTCCCAGCAGAATGCTGGATGGACAGGGGGTCGGAGCCAGTCGGGGCCCCGCCGCAACGCGGTGCTTCGCCCTTCGAGTCAGCAGCCAAACAATAAATAACGCAATGTTCCTCTTGGCACGGGAACCCTGGAACGCGGCAAGTTCAGGGCGCGCGCCCAGCCGCCTTGCCTTCTCAATATTCCCCCGGCGCCCCCGACGCTTCCGAGCAGGCGGGGGGGGGGGCGAAAGGGCCGGGCCCAGAGTCGGACGCAGTGGCGTCGCCATACAAGTCAGCGAACACGTCGTCGCGAGAACCAGTGGCCAGGCACCTGGGCAACTCTCCAACGCGCGAAGGGGCGCCGTCGCGCCGGTCATCGGAGGGGTCGGGAACTGCGGAAAGAGACCGCCTCATAATAACGTGGGCATCTACGGCGCACCCACGGCATAAGGATGCAACATGCCAGTGGAGCTTCTCGCACTCAGTGTATCACATATCACATGCTGCCGACGTCGCACGCGCCGCAGAGCCAGGGCAAACGCAATATCCATGGTGTCACGAGCGCACGAGGGCCAGTCCGAGCGGCGCGCGTGAACATGAGTTGCGCAAAAACCGCGGCTGGGGAATATTGGCCCGCGCCGGATAAGCCGCTCTGGAGAACAACCCGTGACCACATGCACGGGAACTTGGGCGTCGTTGATGGCCTCGCAAGAACTTTTCAATCGCTCATGCCACTTAACATCGGATCGAGCAACGATGAAGAAGTCTGCGCGAGCAGAACGCCAACGGGGGCCACGAGGACTCCTCTGCGCATCAATCGGCAGATGCGCGACAAGGGGAACGTTGCCGGACGGAACTGACGGGTCGCGCGCGCGCCTTTTCGCACCTGTGCGCGCTGGCCACTCAAGAAACCCACTCGAGACGGCATCCCAACATTTGCGATCCAAACGCGCCGTGGCGTGCAGGTAAAGCCCTCCCCCATCACCACGAGAAGTGTCACGTGTCATGTCAGTCTGGAGAATCATGGCTTTCTGGCGAATAGCGGGGACTAGCTGGCAAACAATGCGATGTCAGCCGCGGCCGCCGGCCCCCCGTAACACATCGCGTGGGCTCTCCTCCTGCGTGATTATTCCTAAAGACCAAAGACGCAAACGACCCTCGTAGGTGCACACAGATCATCGGCAGGCCAAGACGGTTTCCACCTGGCACTGGGCAAGGTGGATTTCGAGAGAGAACGCGCAATGATAAGTGCAGCTGCCCCAAAAAAATGACCGTGAGCAGCGAGAACAAACATGGAAACAGCCTGCACTCTCTCTATATGACATCTTGAAGTCGCCCTTGGACCCCCGAGATTATTCCAAGGCTCGTGCGTGGCACTGCGTAGTTAGATGGCGAAACCACGCGCGTTTCTCGCACCAGTGGGCACGGCCACCCCGATCACTCCCGAATGGAGCAGCAACGCTCCGACATGCAACACAAGCAACACCTGAGATGGGCGAGGGGTGGGACAACAGAGAGGCAGCCATGCAAGCAGAAGAGAAGGGCGCACACGAGGAGCTATGCTTCCTCACGCCCGGACGCATACCAAGGGTCTGCGCGACCCCTCAGCATCCGAGGGCGGTCCACAAGACGCCCGACATGAACCCGAGGATGAGCTCGAAGAGGTGCTCGAAGCAGGGGGGCCCCTCAAACGCCGAACGGCCCGTCGAGGAGGATCGTGCAATGCCTCCAAATAGTTTCGAATCCCGTTTCTTTGTTGCCCGCGCCGTGTTTGGTCCCCGTCAAACGGCGGGCTTCTTGCTGAGCGTGCTCTCGATCCGCCCGGGGGCGAGCTCAGCACAGCGGGCGGCGCTCCGAACTTGCGAGCGTCGTCATGCCTCAGTCCGAGCCAGGATACAACGTTTCCCAGATCGCATGTTTGTGCTTCGCCCCCGAGCAAATATAATTCAACGTACCCGTATGGGGACAGCAAACTCCGAGGGAGTAGCTCTGCTTCCAAAAGCCATTCTCTATCAACGTGGCTGCCATGGCTTCCTCGTACTTGCCGAGAGCAACCGATGTATGGCACCATATCCAACACGAAGAGGAACGTCATCACCAGACATGCGGTCGCACTAGAGAAGGTGGAAACTGGAATGCACTTCTTTGACCCTGGTGAATGGCTCTGGCAGCATCTCAATTGTCAAAGCGAGTGTAACAAGACCTCTGGCACTGAACAGGGGCGCGAGAGAACAGCATGGGGAGCTGCTGCCTTCAGGAACTCGAAGGCTTGATTCAAAACGCATGCAAGTACTCGGCGACGGAAGCCACGAATGCATATCTTGCAGCGACCTGCGACTCCCTCTTCATCACGAGAACTGGGAGGCTGATGGAAAGGACCAGCAGCTGAGCCACCAGGAAGAGGATGACCATTGTGCGCCATCCCTTGGTGGGAGAGCCAGCCCGGGAGTCGAAGGGCGGGCCGGAGCGTTCCGCACCAGAGGCCGAGCTCGCTGCAGCAGACATTGTTTCCTGCGCGCTTTCGATGATGGTGGACTCCATTGTGAACAGCCTCGAGTCGAGCTCGGCAGCGGTAGCCAGCTTGGGCGGGAGGGGCCTGGCGGCGTCGTCCTCAATGTCCATGCCCCCGTCCGGGCTACACCGGCGCGTACGAGCCAGGGGGGCCCCGCGGTGCCAGGCGATGGCACGAGTCTACCTGCTCCAGCTGGTTGCGTGTGCTCTCCTGCTGGAGGTGGCAGGATGCGGAGGAGGATGGGGAAGATGCCAGTGGCCAGGAGGACGCGGGGAAGGAGGACGAGCAACAGACGGGGGAAGGAGAGAGGAAAGCAGTGGGCGGGGGGATCGCCCTCCGCCTCCTCCTTCTCCCCCTCCACATCCTTCTCCTCCTCCTCCTCCTCCTCCTCCTCCTCCTCCTCCTCCTCCTCCCCCTCCACATCCTCCTCCTCCTCCTCGCCGTGCCCTCCACCCCCTACGTCCTCCTCCTCCTGCTCCCGCTGCTTTTTCTCCTCCTCCTCCTCGTTCTCCTCCTCATCAACTTCGCCCTCCCCGTCTGGAGGTTCCTGGCATATCCGAACTCCGAGGCGAATTCAGTCGTGATGACGAGGGGTGGGTAGCAAAAGCGGTACCTATCCCGTATCTGACGAATGGAGATCGCCGGAGGGGGTACCAGCGGCATCAGAAGAGCTCGGTCCTCGATCCTCCTCCTCGATCCTCGATCCAATGGCGAACTCCGAAGGCTGAACGATAAAGAGCGCCAGAAACACCAGAAAACCTCGATGCTCCTTCGCTTCGCTGTAGCTCCTTCGCTTCGCTGTAGCGGGCAAGTCGTCGAAATGTCAGCACGCCCTAACTACAACATCACAACATCGAATTGGGAGATCTCCAATGCCCCCGAAAACGTAATTCCGAGCCGCCCTCAGCGGACTCCTCTGCGTTCGAAATGGCAGCCTTGAGGCGCTCAGCACGGGTCGCCCATGCATCCACAGTCCCCTGGGTCAGACCAGACCTGGCGAGAAGCTCCGACAGACCCCACACCAACCACCCAGCAACCCCAGACTGGAGCCCGTGAGCTTGGGCCTGCTTGGAGATGAAACTCAGAATCTGACGAACCACGAGACTAGTGAAGTCCCGTCCAGTGGCCTCAGTCAAGAGCCCGATTCTCCAGCCTGCGTTTTGCGGTGTCCTGCGGGGAAACCTGCCCTCAGCAGCCCGATTCCGCCGCCTCTTCAAGGCGGTTGTCGGGTCGCCGCAGGGCTTCGCAAGCCTCTGCACACCATCCTAAGCATAGCTGCCTTAAAAGATGCACATACGGCCACACGGCCGTCTGACCCAAAAAAAAACCCTCCGCCCGCCTGAAAACCGAACCCGTCCTAATACTGTGAACTTGCAGTTTCATGGACACCTCAAGCTCTGGATCACCGTCGGGAGAGACCGCGGGAAGCAAAACCCTGTCCCCACCTAATTACGGCGTTAGGGGAACAGAAAGTGGCATAAACATAAAAACTCGGAGGTCCACGCGGATTTCTCGGATCGGCGCTGGGGCCCCCTGGCGGCGCCTCCGGCGCCGCCCCTGGCGCGCTCCGCGCACCAGGGAGGGGGGTCCAGCGCCGATCCGAAAAATCCGCGCGGACCTCCGAGTTTTTATATTTGTCACTTGTTGTTCCCCTAGGTGAGGGCGGTCTTGCCAGCAGGGCCAGTAGGGAGGAAGCTCAGCGGTAGCCTTCCACCAACGGTCAACTCGCAAGACCTCTTGCTGAGCCGCCCACCAGCTCACCTCGATCCTCGGTCACCATGTCCAGTCCTCGCCAGTCGGGCGGCCTGGCGACCTGCGCGAGGGCAGAGAGCACCAGAGGCATCAGAAGACCTCGGTCCTCGATCCTGCCCCACTTCGACTCTCGGTCCTGGATCCACCCCCGAAGCTGCCCATCGCTACTCCCCGGCCATCTCCAGGGTTCGTTCTGACCATAATTTCGGAACGGATCCGGCCGTGCCGACGAGGAGTGTCAGCGGTCTCTCATCCCCTCCAATCCTCGATCCTCGACCCTTGACCCTCTTCGACCCTCCCTCTGACGGGGCTGTCGCCGGGGCCGCGTGCGCGGACGAGACCAGCCGGAATCCCGAGTGCTGCAGGAAGTGCGGGCGGAAGTGGTACCGGCAGAACGCCGAGCCGCCTGCCGCCATGGCGCGCGGGCGGGCCGTTGGCAAGGGTATGGCACTCGCACCGTGCCGTGCCGATGGCGGGCCTGGCACGACCCATCAGAGGAGCAGCAGCGATAGCTGACGGCTGGAGGAGGAGGGACGAGCAGCGAGAGGACCCGACGCAGGGAGAGCTGGTCGCGCGCCTCAGGGCTCCACCTCCACTCCTCCACGCTACTCCTCCTCCCATCCCCCTCCTCATCCTCCTACAGTCGGATCCCCAAGCCGACCTCGATCTTTTACTTCAGCCCGACTGTGCTCCACCACGCGCGCCTCCCAGCGCCGCCTGCACCTCATCGGCGGGGCAACTGGCGGTGCCGCGGGGGCAGCGGCGTGCGGAGAGCTCTGCCCAGGATCCGATCCGATGCCGTAGATGCCGTGCCGCGGGAGGCTCGGGAGCCCCTCGGGCGGCCGGCGACCAGCCCCCCCCCCCCCTCTCCTGGTGCTGCCCGTCCCCCGCGCAGTCGGCGCCGCTTGTACACAAGAGGGGCAGGAGGACCACCCTCACAATCCGCCGATCCGGAGCGTGAGGTTCACAAGCCAAAGCCACAGCCTAGAGCCCGAGCTTCAGCTCTGCTGGGGTGGGGGGGTTGCCGGGGTGGCCCTGCCGGCGAAAGGCGGGGGCCCCTCTGGTGCGCCTGTGCTCCGCTTTGCTCCGCTTTGCTCAGGTTTCTTGGGGGGGCTCGGACACATCGAAATGCACAACCTAGGACCTCTTGGGCCCTGCACAATCGCTGAACGATCGGGCCCAGGCGCACAAAATAGCCTTCAGTCGGCCGCAAGAGTGCCCAAGACATCACACGAGGCCTCCAAGAGACCCCCAAACAGGGCGCCAAGAGGCCAAAGCCATGCAATTCCTTCGGAACACTTGTTTAGCATGTCCGACTTCTCGGCCTTCACGACGTCCAACGCCCCGAAATCTCCCAACACGGTCCCAGAGACCCCCCAAAACCGCAGCGAGACGCCCCAGGAGTCCCGAAACCGCCAAATAGGCGCCCAAGACGGCCCAAGGAAGCCTCGTGGGGAAGCCCATTAATTCCTGCCTTCCACGCCACGATACACCCTCGAGGTCCACAGAGGCCCCCCTGAGCCCCCGAGAGACCTTCATGAGGCCCTAAAGACGCCCCAAGCGGCCCTCAAACGGCGCCCAATAGCCTTCAAAACTGCATCCAAAAAGCCCACGCACAAGCATCCAGCCGCACCGACATCGGCGGCATTGGTCCGAGGCCATTACAACGAGCACCCCGACCATAGAAAGAAGCCGCTTGGTGAACGCATCCAACGAAGGAATCGAACATGCAAGGTTCTAGTCAACAACCAGAACTGTTCAGCAAACTCTGGCTACAGGCGTCGGGGTGTTTGTTCCTCCCTTGATGGCCGGCGTGTACGCGAGACCAAGACCCCCGAAGCCCCAGCCCCAAAACCAGGACTGGCTTCTCATTCCCCCAGTCGTTGTTTGACGGTCCCTGGGCTCGGTAAGAGCCCCAAGAAGCCCAAAAACGGTCTGATTGTTGTTCACGACGCGAAGAGGTCTGGGGAGAAGGAAAGAGAGAGGGAGAGAGAGAGAGAGAGAGAGAGTCACGCCTGCCGCGCCCGACGACATGAAACTGCCGCCCATGACCCGCCGGCCCCCAGCCAGGAGGCGAAGAGGTAGGCCGCGCGAAAGCGCTCCCCTTTCCAGCCAGAAGACGAGGAGGGGAGGGCGCAGAAACGGAGGAGGGCTGCGAGGAAGGCGAGGGCGGAGAGAGCGGCGGAGAGGATGCGAGGAGGGCGGCGGGGAGGGCGGCGACGGGGAGGGTGAGAGGAGGGCAACGGGGAGTACTGCAACGGAGGGCGACGAGGAGAACTCGGGAGAATTCGGCTACGACGGAGTCGAAGATCGTTAGACTGACGAACGATGACAGGAGGAGGAGGAGGATGAGAAGGACGAGGAGGAGAAATGCTTCCTGACTCTCATTCTCGCGCCGCTCCTCCTCCTCCCCTCCTCCTCGTCCATCTCGACGCCCTCCTCCGTTCCGCTCCATCCTCCTCGCCATGCCGCCGGTTCTTCCTTCCGACCCGAAGCGGTCCTTCCCCTAGTCCTCCTCCTCCTCCTCCTCTCCTCCTCCTCCTCCTCCTCCTCCTCCTCCTCCTCCTCCTCTCTCCTCTCCTCCTCCTCCTCCTCCCCTCTCCTCCTCCTCCTCCTCTTCCTCTCCTCCTCCTCCCCCTCCTCCTCCTCCTCCTCCTCCTCCTCCTCCTCCTCCTCTTCCTTCCAACCCTGTGGGATCCTCCCCCTGCTGGTGGAGCGCTTGAGGGCTCCTGCCCAATGCCGGAGCAGGCGCGGGCCCCCCGGGATCATGTGGTGGCGGCCGTCGAAGCACGGCGCGGAGAAGTCGTCGTACACGCGGTGCACCTGCCGAGAGAGAGGGCACCAGGGCTCGAGCTAAACGGTGTTGCTGCTTTCGTTGTGCTTTAGTTCTCCTTCGTGCTGTCTCCGTTCTGCCTCTGCTGCGAAACAGCATCAAAACGAAAGCGGCCCGCGAAGTCGCCAACACGCCGTTGGGCTCGATCCCTGTAGGGCGCAGAAGGAAGGAAACACAAAGCGGGCCAGGACAGCGGGGCAACCTCCACGGCGGGCGCGCTCAAGGCGCGGACCCTGCCCTCGCGGGGAAGGGGGGAAGAGGAGGGAGAGGCAGAGCGAGGAGGAGCAAGGGGGGAGAGGAGCGCGAGGGGGAGGGCGTTGGACCTCCTCGGTCCCTTCCACGACGCCCACATCCCTCCCCGCCTCCCTCCTCCTCGTGTCCCCACCCGCCCCTCGCCTTCCTCCCCCCCTCCTCCCCCCTTCTCAGGGGGCGCCCCGGCCCTGCAGGAGAGGAGGCCCTGGATAGCATTCGGCGCTGGGAGGCCCCGCCCAAGAACAGGAAGGCTTCTTGGCCCGATGGGCTCCCCAGTGCCCCCTCGGCAGAAGAGGCGAGGCCCGAGACGTCAGGGATCGCTTCTCTGTCTCTCTGTCACGGCGCTCACTGCACATCGGTGGGGCTTGCTGCCTGGTTGGTAGTCGCCTTATGTACTCGTCTCCCTCCTTCTTCCCCCGCCCACCGCCCCCTGGCTCGACCTCATTCCTCGATCTCATCGAACCCCTCCCCGGAGGTCTGAGGTCCCTCCCTGGAAGCCATCGGAATCCACTGCGAGCTTCTAGAAGCCTCCAGAGAACTCTGGAAGACCGCAAAGGGACAACACAAATTACGATAGAAACTCGATCACCTAGTTCGCCAAACTTCGCGTATCGCGCCCCGCGATGCGCGACGCGCGGTTCTCGTCGCGCCATCGCGCCGCCGTCTCTTGAGAAGGGCAACGTTGCGGCCCAGGCCGCGACGCGGGAAGCGCGATTGTCTTCGCGCCCCCGCGGGTGACCTAGATCCTCGACTTGGCAACCACATGATGTGATCCGTACACTTGCAGGTCAGCTCTGCGAAGCGCCGGCTGGGGTTCAGACTCCAGAGGGTGCCTGGAGCCAAGTGAACCCCAAGGGGGGCGTCGGATACCCCACGTCCAATGGACCCGCAAGGGTACAGAAGGGGCGTTGACCTAAGGAACCCTAAATAAGGAACGAGGCCCCTTTTTCCCATACGTTGAACTTCGATTTACTCTCGAAAACATAAGGAAAACCTGAGGCAAGCTGCGAAACACTTAAGGCACGCGGAGCCCCTCCCCAACCAAAAGGGTTCCTTCTTCAGGGCCCCGACTGTAAGGTTCGCAGCGAGCCGCAGGTCGACTTTCCGAAGACGAAGCCGCAGACAAAATCGGACAAGGAAAAATCGGGGATCTCGGAGATCCAGCGGTCCTGAAGAGTGTGTAAGGCGCCGCTGCCCTCTCAGAGCGGTCCGCAACGCTGCGAGAGCGTACGAAAAGGCTCTGAGACGGCGTCCTCATTGTCCCAGCCCTGCCCGCTTTCCCCCGGCCCTGCGAGCCTCGAAGCCCGGGAGCGGGTTGAAGTGGTCCTCCGTCCACTCCCACGCGTTGCCCATGGCGTCGTGGTGGCCCGTGGGCGACCTGGCGGCGCGTCAGGAGCTCCCGCTCGTCGGGGAGCCGCGCGCCAAAGCGAGCAGGCAGGTACAGGAGCAACCCTCCTCACTCCTCCACCCTCACTCCTCCACCCTCACTCCTCCTCCTCCTCCTCCTCCTCCTCCTCCTCCTCCTCCTCCTCCTCCTCCTCCTCCTCCTCCTCCTCCTCCTCACTCCTCATGAGCATCGTCCGTCTCCCTCCTCACTCCGCCATTCTCCCTCCTCCCTCCTCCTCCTCGTCCTCCTCCTCCTCTTTCCCTCCTCCTTCTCCTCCTTTCTCCTCCTCCGTGTCCACTGTGCTGCTGGGACACCCTCCTCCTCCACCTCCTCCACTCCCAGCCAATCTACCATCCCAATCCCGAGGAGAGAGAGGGCAGTGGCATGATTCGCCCATGTTGGTCCCCTCTGGAGATTTGATACACTACTAGCATTACACATTGGTTGCAAGATGCACAAATCAGAGCCAGCGTGTTAGAAGACGGGGCAAATACGGTCTTGAACTGAACTGGGATAAGACGCTGCATATGCACATTTGCACAACCACTGCTATATGCCAGCTTGGTGGCGGAAACATCAAAACGGTCCGATATGCAGTGTATTGAGGCGCTCTTATCACATGGGATGCCACAGGGGCGAAGGAGTTAACGATAATGTTAAAGAAACGTATGGGATAGGTAAGGTATCTAAAATACGGTCACCCTGCTCAATTTAATGGAAGTGAAATGCAACAACTAATAACAGGTGCGTGGCAAGCTGATGTTATTGTATTTGTATGATGTGCGGATGCTTACTTACGGCAACAAGCAAATTTGATGAATTGGACCGTGGATGTATTCTGCGCACACTAGGCAAACACTGTTCAAACATCTCTCGAATCAACAATGCAGAAGTACACCTCCGTGCGAGGTACTCGACCCTTGTCCAAGACATGACTGTCGAGGCAAACTGAACTATGTAGGATGATCACTACATTCAGTGGAGCGACGTGGGTCTGGCGGGTGGTGTGTAGTACAAAAGATACGACGCAAAACTTGGTAAAACGTCGTAGACGTGGCCTGCCACGCCAACAATGGGCTCACGAAATCTATGAATTAAATGTCTGGTAGTATCCGCCACCGTGCCTCTAACACGAAGATGAGAGCCCCAAGACTGAGAGGGATGTGCTGCTGCTGCAGACAAAATTGTAAGTCCTCAGGGCCCGAAACAATCGTTCCCCAGGCTGGACCAGGGTCTGCCGGAACCGTTCGCGTCGGCCTACCCCGCCAAAGGGGCCCCAAAGCGAGCCCACATGGCCCCAACAGGCCCAGAAATAGTCAAAGAGGGCCCCAAGTCGCCCCAAAATCGCTCCAAGACACCCAAGATGGCCTCGAGATGGCCCAACCATGAGACCTCCAAGACGCCACAAGAGGTCTCCCAAGAAGGCCCCAAGAGGCAACAATCACTGATGTTCCAAAAGGTTTGTGCAGGATTTGGTGTTCTGACCTGTTCGGCCTTCCGACGCTCCAAAACGGTCCAAGAGGCCCCCAAGACCAGCCCAAGACGGCCCAAGAGGGCCCCAAGACGGCCAAAGAGCGCCCCAAGACGGCCCAAGAGGCACCGAAGACGGCCTGAGAAGGCCTCAGGACGGCCAAGAAAGGGACCCCGAGAGGCCCCCAAGGAGGCCCCGAAAGGCACCAACCAGGCCCCCAGAGGAGACCCCCAAGACGCCCCCAAAAGGCCCCAAGAGGCGCAAAAGAGGCGCCGAAACGGCCCCCAAGAGACCGGAAAACTGTCTCCAAGAAGCCCTGGAGAGGCCTCCCACGAGATCCAAACGAACATCCAACGGGCATCATACCCACAACGCAGGCACGGCGGCGGGATGGGCCGAAGGCCATTCGATACGCGGGATCGGCCATGACCTTCCCTCTCCTACGCTTTCCACGCCCTTGTACAATCCAAGTGCGCTTTCCCTAGCCGCTTTGCTCGGAGAGTTGCCACTGTGCACCTGGTTTCTGCCTACGCGTCCCTGTGGATGCTTGGCGTCGCGCGTGCGTGGAAGGCACTCGCTGAATCTGTTGAGGTTCCCCTCGGAATCCTGGCGGGATGGCGCTCCATTGCGTCTCCCATGTTCGGCGGGCTCCTGCGCGGCTCGTGAGACGGGCGACGTGCCAAGCGAGGAGGAGCTCCCCCCCCCCCACAACTGCCAAAGACCGGCCAAATACAGTTGCAAGACTCACCCAGACGACGCACAGAACCGTTGGGCGCGAAACGGTCTCCCGATCCCCTCAACAAGCCCGTGGGAGGCTCATGAAGAGGTCCCAGACACGACCCCGAGGACGCCCGAAACAGCCCCCCAGCCGCCTCCAAAAGACGATTGCGAGGCGACGCAACAGCCGTGCAACACTACAGCCATTCTGATGGCTCTGGCGGGCATCCTCGGAAGAGCCAGGCAGAACTGTCGGGCCCAAAAATGGCCACGGAACGTCCTGGGGGCCCACTGGGGACATCGCAGAGCTTTGGTTCGAACGATCTGGGCGAGCTCCGAGCAGGATGATTCCACCGACGGTGGGATCGTCCTGTACGCACATCTGCGAGGCGGGATGTTCATCATAATCACCGCCAGGGGGATCGATCTACAGTGACCTCTGATGGCGGTGTATATGAATATATTTGGCCCTATCATGGCCAATACACACATCTATGTGTATATATATGTAGTTGTTGCCCCACCAGGGCCAAAATATATGTGTATATATAATTTGTTTTATATATCTATATCTACAAGACTGCATTGGCGCTTTGCGCCATGCGCCTTGTTCCGGGCACTGTTCGGAAAAGTAATAAGTCATCGCGTGTTTCAGCAGAGGGGGCGTCGAGGTCTGGACGGGCGACTGGCTCATTGTTCTGCTATCCCTGGACCTTGCTAACACTGCGTTCGCCCGATGGGCTTGCGCGCCTGTGCGCAGAAATGGGGGGGAAGGACCGCAACCACTACCGCGACGACGACGACGCCGACGACAACGACGACGACGACGACGACGACGACGACGATGGGGCTCTCGTCTGAACTGCAGATGGGGCGCTCGTCTCTCGAGGGCCTCTGGAAGCTCCCAATGGGACCAAAAGCGCTCAGAAACGTGGCCCTTCCTCGTCGTCGTCCTCCTCCTCCTCCTCCTGCTCCTCCTCTCGGGCAGGCTGCGGGAGCGAGCGCTCGGAGCGTCAGTAAGCGGGCTACGCAATTCGCCGGCCCAACGGGCCAGGGCGTGCTAAGATCTCCGGTAACTGGTCAACAGTATTAACAGTATTTCTAGTTCGCGCGCGCGGGGCGGCCCCTGGGGGTCCCCCGGCGAAAAGTACCCCGACCAACGCCCGACCGCCGCCCGACCGCCGCCCGACCGCCGCCCGACCAAGTCTACTCAGAGATGGTTTTCCTTCTGGGTGCGGCCTCTCAGGCTCCCCAGAGCGCGCTCAGAGTGCCCCAAGAGGCCCCCAAGACTGCCCAAGAGGCCCCCGAGACGCCCAAAGAGCGCTCGAAGACGCCGAAGATGACCCCAAGACGGCCCAAAAGGCCCCCAAGACAGCCCAAGAGGCCTCCAAGACGCCCCAAGAGCCTTCCAAGAGGCCTCCGAAGAGAGCCCCAAGAGGCCAAAATCGTTGATTTTCATTGGTTTTTTCGATGTTTTTTGTGTTCTGGCTTTTTCGGCTTCCGGACGCTCCAAGACGGCCCAAGAGGCCCCCAAGACCGCTCCAAGACGGCCCACGAAGCTCCCAAGACGGCGCCGAAACGACCCAAGAGAGCCCTCAAGACGGCCCAAGTGCCGCCCAAGACGGACCAAGAGGCCCCAAGACGGGCCCAAGAGGGACTCAGGAGGGATACCGAGAACTCAAAAATGGAGCCCTCCGTCCCAGAAGGCGCCCAGGAGGTCCCAAAGAGGCCCCAAGAGGCCTCCAAGAGGCCCCAAGATGTCGCCAAGAGGCCCCAGGAGACTCCCAGGAGGCCCAAAAGAAGCCCCAGAAGGCTTCAAACATGTCTCCCAGGCGCCCCCGAACGGCCTCTCAACAGACCCCAAGAGGCCCCCCAAAGAAGCATCTTGACGACGACTCTATTTCGCCCCATCGAGAGACGACCCCCAGGGAACTGCTTCACCATCAAAACTCCCCACGCAACGCGTCCGAACGACACCCGCCCCCAAGAGCGCAACATGGGCAACGAACACACAGACAAAAACCAGCGATGCCATATCACGGGCCGGCGGAATGAGCAAAACGATTCAATAACGAGGCGGCAGCCCGCGATGACAGGCCGAGACCTCCTACCCCTCCGTAGGACGACGACGACGACGGCGGCGACGACGACTGGTCGCTTTCCTGGACACTTGTAGGGCTTCTGAGGTCCTTTCCAACCACCGCCCTGCGAACTACGGCATCGTGGAGTGTAAGAGAGCTACTGGAAACTATATTGGAACGGTGTGGGCTCGCGTTTGAACTCCTGGTGACTCTCCAGATCAGAGGACTCCTTTTGGCTGTTGTGGGCCGTCTTGGAGCCCTATTGGGGCGTCCCGGAATCCTCTTTTGGCCGTTTTGGGAGGCCGGGCCGGCCAAGGGCTTTTCGGGGGCCCTCTTGGAACATTCTTGGGGGCCTCCTGTGGCTCTCTTGGGGCTCTCTTGAGAGTTCTCGGGGCCCTCTGGGGCCCCTCTTGGGCCGCTTTGGGCTTCTCATGATTAGTCTTGAAGCTCTTTTTGGGGCCGCCTTGGGCCGGTCATAGAGGCCTCGGAGGCCGTCCTGGGGCGATCTTGAGAATCTCTGGGGGTGCCGTGGACGCTGCGAAAGCGGAAAAAGGCTAATATCTTCAAAAGCGTACGTTTCCTCAGGGACTGGGACGATTTTTGGTTCTTAGGGTCCCCTTTTGGGGCCTCTTGGACAGCCTTGGGGGCCTCGTGGGCCGTCTTGAAACCATTTTGGGTTCTCTTTGAGCGCTGATGGGCCGTCTTGGGGCCCGTTTTGGGCC